TGGTAGGGATATCTAGTCAACCAATGTCTTTTAAAGTCAGAACCTGTTTCCTTCTCCTGGGCAACATATTTTTACTATTCAAATCTGCCCCAATCACCTGATAGGGAGATATTTTTTAAAACATAGTTGTTATTGTTGATAGTATTACAGATGTCTCCCATTTTGCCCCCTGCGCCCCTCTCCTTCCACTCCCTACTTCCACCCCCCAGCTCTTCACTACCTTATTGCCGGGTTCCATGGACTATGCATATCCTATATAATAAAAGGCTAATATGCAAATCGACCAAACAGCGGAACTACAGGTCATTATGACAGGCACTGACCACCAGGAGGCAGACACTCAATGCAGGAGCTGCCCCTTGCTTAGCAGCTTCTCCTGCCCTGAGACAGTAAGGACTCTTCTGGGGATGTCTGACTGCCGCCTTAGGCCTGCTGCCCACAGAGGAGGGGTCCCAGACTGTGAGGGGGAGTGAGTTGGGCTGAAACCCTCCTCCCCTCCCCCCCCAACTAGTACATGAATATTGTGCACCGGGCCTCTAGTAAGGTTATGTAAGTACTTTGGTTTATCTCTTCTTGTCACCCCAACCCCACATCAAGGTATGTCAGTCTGTTCCATGCCTCCATGCTTTGAGTTTTATTTTGTTGATCAATTCATTTTATTCATTAGATTCTACAAATAAGTGAGATCATGTGATATTTGTCTTTAGGAGAGATTTTCTTGAAACCCATGATTTCGAGATATCCTTTTCCCAGATGCTAAAATATATTTAGAGAACTAAATGAATGAGATACTAAACCAACTTTGGGCCTCTTCCAGTACAGATATTGACAAGACTAAGCCAGCCACTCTATTAAAATAACTGGATGAGACTTTGCCTCCACCTAATATTCGCTGATATCCTTTAACATCTGATGCACTAGCTGGAATTAAGCCCATTACACAAGATTACTTTAAAGCTGTCTTGTAATTCCATGTACGAGCCCCTGTAATTCTCCTTCCAGTAAAGAAACCCAATGGAAGTGGATGGCAGTTTATACAGGATCTCATAGCTACATATAAAATAGTTATTTCCAGACATCCCTTGCTTCCAAATCCACATATCTTATTATGAGCCATTCCTGTGGACTGCCAACATTTTTCAGTAATAAATTTATGACATGGCTTTTCAGTATTCCTTTAGAAAAAGACAGTTAACATTGCCTTTACCTGGGCAGATGGCTAATTTACTTGGACTGTAGTGCCTCAGAGATACAGAGTCCCAACTGTTTCTCTCAGATACTAAAAGCTGACTTAATGCTGTTAGTTTCCCTGAGATTCCACTGCAATCCAGTACGTGAATGGTTCACTGGTGGGCTCTAGGACATTACCAGACTCCTGAAAGGACACAACAGCTAGCTATAAAAGAACATCAGGCCTCAAAGGCAGGCTTCAATTGTGTTTGTCTCAAGTAAGATACCTTGGCCATCTCATATCAAAAGATGGGCTATTGATTAAATCTGAAAGAGCCAGAAGGATTCTATTCTTTCCTTCTTCCAAAACAAAAGAGCTTGGAGGATTCCTGGGTCTGACTGGATACTGTCACCATGGGGTTCCAAGCTTTTTATTAACAACTCAACCTCTATATGTCTTATTAAAATCAGATCAGCCTGATCCAATTCAATGGAAACCCTGGAGGGAAACAAATTGTGAAAACTCTAAAGAAAGAATTATTGAAGGCTGCCACTTTGGGACACTCTAATTATAAACTTCCTTTTTGTTTATACATGAAAATAAAGGAAATGTTTTAGGAGTTCTAACTCAGAAACATCGAGATCATCGTAGACCTATAGGATGTTATAATCAGCAATTAGACTCAGTAGCATAAGGACCATCTCTGCTATAGCCCTGCTGTGCAAACAAATAGATGGGCTACTGATTAACTCCTTTTCTCTCTTTTCTGCATCCAGCATGGAGAGGGAGATGAATCGGTTTTTCAAATAGAGGTGGCTGGGGATTGAGAAATGAAAGAAAGAAAGAAAGAGAGACAAGACACAAAATGGAAGGAAAAGGCTGAGAACCAGGTGGGACCACTGCCCTCTTCTGCTGGAGAGACAATGACCCAGAGACCATGCAGCATGTTTATTTTATACCCCCAAATAGCAGGAAGTTTCATCAGAAGGTCAAGACAAAGGAATTTATTTGCATTCTTGAGTAGGACTGAGCATTCCGGGTGCTTGACTGGATTTACATATCAAAGCACACTACCCGACACCTGGGCAAAGATAAGAGTCAGTGCTGAGCACACATCTGCCTTTTTGGTGAGATCTGTAACCAAGATGTGGCTTTGCCTGTCGCCTTGGGTTCAGTTGACAATAATTAAAGAATGCCCATGTGCCTTCCCAGGCGCTGCCTACACCTTTACTTATGTTCCTAATTCTGCTGACTCTCGAGTGGTTACCATGTATCTCTTTTTGAGAATAAAAATGGAAAGAATCAGGCCCATGTGGCTGCATTTAGTGTACATGGTACAACACTGGTGGTGAAAAATTCAGTACAAGTTCATGTGTCCAGTATCATGTGTTACCATGTTCCAGGAGCTGTTCTAAGCACTTAGGAACATACATGTAAGGCTTATCTATTCTTTACACCAACCCTTAGAGGTAGGGACTATTATTACCCCCTTTTTGCACTGAGGTATCAAGACTAACATTAGGTCACTGGCCAGAAGACACAGTTAATACAGAGTCTGAAAGCTGGTTTCATTGAAACCTAATCTAAGGCAATCAGGGCCTCCTTTGGTTCCCTTTGGTGGGGTTAGTGGCATCTAAACGCCTCCGCAGGGAAGGATCAGCACATGGGTGGGGCAGGAGGGAAGGGGCAGCTTCCTGCTGGTAGAAAGGGGAGGCCCACTTCTGACCCTGTGGTTGAAGAGTTGCCGGGAATTCCCATGTACAGGGTGGGCTCTCTGAAGCACAGTTTAACAGCCACAGAAAGAAATGACACATTTACCTGTTTTATTCCTTCCCATCAATAGAACATGTTTTTGCTGAGTGAATGAATGTCTGTTAAATGAACCTACTACGTGGAGGCTGGATTTCAGCTAACCGATACCAAGCTGACGGCATCATAGAGAAGTCACCTCTCCACTTCCTGTTTTTCAGGGTCCAAAACGAATGTTGTGGGCATCTCCCACGTAGAAGCATTTGTAGAAACGATGCTGGGGCTAGAGACTGGCAAGTGGAAGGTCACTGTTGGGTCCGAGGCTTCTGGCTCTGCCCTGTAGGGTGCTCCTTCTGCACGCCACCAGCAAGCCCCCACGCCGAAGCTCACAGCCCACCGTGAGCATGCGTCAGCCTCAGGGCCTGCAGGTCCCTTTTCTAGGTTCTCCCTGGTCCTCAAGGCCAATCTAACGGATACTTTTTACTTTGTTGATGTTTTAAATCTCCAAATTATTGTTTACAATTTTATTTGTGGTAAGCGAAACCCTTTTTTAGGGGGTGAAAAAATCGGTAAGTACTCAACTCTCTCTGTAGCCTCCGCAGTGCCCCGCTGCTCACGCCTGAGCTGCAGGTGGAGGACAAAAATGCTGCATCAAATGGAAGTGCCCTTTCCTGTCTTCGCCTGGCCCAGGTTCGCGTCCACAGCCCTCCTCGTCCGTTTCCCCCGCGAGGAGGGGAGTGCCTGCTGCAGGATGTTCTCCTCACCTGGTCCAGGGACCCGGAGAGCTGCCCCGAGCCCAGACTTTGCTTCCACTCGAGGCCTCAGAGCCTGCTCCGAGCTGAGCCGCAGTGCCTGGTTCTGGCCTGCTGGGTTGTCTGGGAGGAGGGGGTAAGACCAAGACTTTGTCTCACAGGAAATGCTCACCTTGCACAGCCGAAAGCTTTTCTGGAAGGAAGGGCGTTTTGAGCCACACACTAGCCAGACAAAGGACCAGGCGGCGGGACACGCAGTCGGAACGGCCAGCCGCAGGCCCGGATGGAGAAGACACGCCGCTGTCCTAGGGCGGAGGGGTTTTTAGATATTATGTTTTGGGGTAGACATATGGAAGTCGTTTTGAAAGGCATGACACTGGCTATGGATGAGGGAAAAGGCGAAGTGGGGGAAGTTCTAGGATGGTGCCCCGTCCCTAAGGAAGAGAATTTACTGTGGGCTGTGGGCACTGCCTCCGGCGGTCTGCTCCCATGGGTGCTGCCTCGTGGGCTCGGGTGGATACACGGTCCTGAGGCAGAGCTCCCACAGCCGCTCGGCCCCGGGGCTTCGCTGGCCCGCAGCCATCAGCCGGGGAATTGCTCTCGCCTTTCTCTCCGTCTCTGGCCCGCTGTAACTTAATTTAGAACATCGTAGATGTTTTTCTTAACAGCTTTCGCTTCTGCTTTCGGACACTGGGGGAACGTTTTCTCCTTGCTTTCTGTTCTGTGAACGTTTTTGGGTTTACAAACTAAGGTTGGGGGAGGCAGTTCTGGGGAGCAGGAAGGCTCTGTCTTTGACCTGGTACTGGCTGGGCGTGTTCATTAATGGTGTCTCAGGCTGTGCACTGAGGTTTGGCACATTTTTCTGAGTATGTATTTTACCCCAACGACAACAATGAGTGTCTTATGATTATTATGAGAGGTGTAGCAGCTCATCTGTTACGGAGAAAGAATAAAAGAAAAGAAGGCGATGGAAGAAGTTAATTTTTTTAAAATCCTCACCCCAGTATATGCTTTTATTGATTTTAGAGAAAGAGGAAGAGAGAGAGAAAGAGAGAGAGAGACATCTGTTGCCTCCTGTATGCACCCCACCCAGGGGTGAACCCACAATCTTAGCTCAGATGCTCCAACCAACTGAGCCACCGGCCAAGCCTAATTTGTCTAAATTGATGTGAAAGTGGGGTGTCCAAGGTAAAAGTGTGGACTGACTCAATAATTTTACTTTTGGCATTTATCTTAAAGAAACAAAGATGTGTACAAAGTTTTAGCAGTGTCATAGTAGTGAAAAATTGGAAGCAATTAAATGGTGAGCAGTAGTTAAATAAATGATGGCACAACCAAAAAAGGATTATTATTTTGCCACTAAAGAGTATGCCATGAATTTTTTTTTTATTATTAAAGCATGGTGCAATCCCATTTTTTAATAAAAAGCAAAATATATTTTACACATATGCATAGAAAATAGTCAGAAGTATACCCTAATATTAACAATGGATTATACCGGGGGCACAGAATTATGGATGATTCTTATTTCCTTGTCTAAGTTTTTTCTTCCAGCGAGCACACATTTCTGTGCAACACCGTGTGAGAGGAAATGGGTGAGTAGGCAACAGTTTAGGCAATTAGCTTCCTCACTCCTCACCAGGGCAGAGTCTGCTCTGCCACATCCTCACCAGACCAGCTCTCTAGCGATTCTGCCTTTACAGACCGAGAAGTCAGCAGGGACTCCAGCGCGTGTTCAGATACGGCATCTGCAGTTCAGAGATCCAGGGGATCTCCACCCGACCTTCCTGACGCTCAAACCGTAGGGTAAAGGGGTGGCCTCTCCCTCTGCCATGAAGAGCCGGGAGAACCATTTTCCCTCCCCTTAGGGATTTCACAGAGATTTTTTTTTTCTATTTTAATCTTTCACAGAGATTTTATTTAGAGATTGAGTGAATTCATTTTCCAAGACTCGGTTCCCCTCTCCCGGTTCATTGGAAGAATCCCCACTGGCTTGGACTGTAAAAGCCTGCATACTTTCCAGCCACATTACAGAACTTGGTGAAAGGCAGACGTTCTCTTATTTCATGATCTTCTCAGGGTCCTGCGTGCAGTGGTGGGTCTCTCAAGAAATGACTTGCTCCAGTGCGGTTTGAGGCACAGAACTGCACGCTGAGCCTGAGGCCTCCAGAAGGATGAAGGGTGTGGAGGAGGGGCCCAGCCCAGCCGTGACTTTGATCAAGCCTCTGTTCCCCCTGCCCCCTTCCCGCCCTGGACTTCAGCCTCCTCTGCAGAATGACCAAGGAGGAGGTCTGGACCCAGTGATGGGGAGGCCCTCACAGCTCTAACCGCCGGCCCTTTCCCCCAATACGTGAGCGCGGTGGCATTGCAACTCTACCGTAGGTATTGTTTGGTGTCAATTAAAGACAAAGTAACCCTCCACCCCTCCACCCAACGAAAGTAGTAAGAACAAGAATGAATACACAAAGAAGGTGAAAACCCGAAGGGAAGGGCCGTTGCTCCCCGGAAAGGAGAGTTCTCAGTCTGAAGTCTATAGTGGCTGTTGGACAGGCCCCTCGCCATCTCAGACGTATCTCTCGGAAGGGCTGGGCTTGCCTCCGGGCCTGACCACGGGCCTGGAAGAGAGACGACCATCACTGCAGCTAGTGCAGTGCAGCAGCACCCATGTCCACCCCCGTCCCCGCCTCCCAGGCTTGTGAGGGTTTTGAGGACCGGTCCCAGGCTCGGCGGAGTGACCCCAGCACCCTGCCAAGTGCCTGACATGTGCCACCTTATTTGTTTAACCCTCAGCAAACTGAGGGGCAGACACGGTAATGAGGGCTAGAGAGCGTGCCGGTGGTGGAGGCAGGATCTGGGCACAGGACCTCTGTCAAGGTCCCCGTTGGAAGTGAGAGAAGGAAAGGAAGCTGATAACCAAATCCTCAGTCCCCAGGAGGGTCGCAGGGGAGGACGTGAGCAGACCACCACCATCCACCGAGTAGAGCTACTTTATTTACAAGTCCTCCTGACCCCCAACAGCCTTCAGAGGGACCCCCTCTCTGGTCCCTCCCTGCACCATCACGTGCAGACCTCCCCGTGTCACCCGCCGCTGTCCCAGCCATTGCACAGCGGACGTGTTTGCCTCAACTCAGTCCCTCTAACATGCTGTCTCCTGGGCTGTGTCTCTAACCTTCAGCGCTGGCAATCCCAATAAAGTTTTCAAATGCATTAAAAAAAAAAAGTTCCCTTGATAACCACACTAGGAATGTGTGCGGATTCAGTGCTGGGCCAGCGCCCCCCCAGTGGGCTGATTTGCCATGAGTGTCCCGTGTGCACACGCCAAGCTCCAAAACCTCTGCCGAGGCCGAGCGGCCCGCGGTCTCGCCGCCTGGGGTCGCTCAGGTGTGTGGCCCCAGCGGCGTGCCACCTGCTTCGCTTTGTGTCAGGGCCGAGCTTTCCTCTCAGCTGCTCATTTCCGCATGGGCATTTTCAGAAAGAGAAAGAGAGGCTTCTCCTCCAAAAGCTCCCAACGGAACCCCAAGCATTGAACTTGCTAAAGTTCCTTCTGTTTTTACAGCCTTTATCCTCTTGGTCTGTCACCTACAATACGTGCGTTGAGCATTCACTACATTTCCGTTGTTAAAAACAAGGACCTGTAAGATCTTGAACTTGCATCCCTTCAGGGAAATATCAATATGCACGCCCTCCCCGGGTATAAAGTCTGGAATGCTTCCATCTACTGAAAGGAACGTGAATGTGGCTGGTTTCCTCAGCCCCTGCTCTCCTGGCCCCAGGCACAGGAAGGAGCCGAGCTTTGGACAGGAGCGAGGCTCTGCTACTTGCTGGCTCCATGGCCTTGAACAAGTCACCGCGTGTGCTAAGCCCCAGCTTCCACACCCGTAAAACAGTGGCCACGGGGACTGCTTTACAAGTTGTTATGAAATTTAAGTACAGGGTGTCCCCCAAAATGCATACACACTCCGAATAATGACTAATTCCCACGGGTTAAATCTGAGGGGAAACATGGGATTGATAATTATTCGAAGTGCGTGCACATTTCTGAGAGGACACCCAATGTACTTCCATGGCGCGTCCTGGGGACACGGGAGGCTTTCACCAAATGGTGGCTGTTGTTACTGACAATCTGAGTGTGGATGTCTCTGCGCCCGGGGTAGGTCTCCTGGCCTCGGAGCAGCGATCTGTGAGATGGGACCCCGGTGTCCGCCTAGCACCGGGGGTGCCGTGAGGACCGGAGAGATCCCGAGTGTAACCCGCATCGCAGTGCGGGCCGGCGTAGATGCTCGTGAGATGTTAGCTCGGGGCTGCCTCGGCCTCAGCGGGAAGGAGAGAGGAGACAGAGGCCTTGTTCTCTTCCTGATCGGTTCAGAATGACCAGGGCTGAACCTGGCTGAACCACTTGAGCTGCCTCTGACGCCCCTTTCTGTCACTCCCCTTCTCGGCAGCCAGTCCAGGCCCTGCATGGGCACAGGGAAATTAGGAACTAAAGCTATCATTTACTTGGTTCGGATGCTAAAAGGTGAACTTTCACCGAAACCAGTTTGGCTCAGTGGATAGAGCATCGGACTCAAGGGTCCTGGGTTCGATTCAGGTCAGGGGCATGTGCCTTGGTTTCGGGCACATACCCAGTGGGCAGCTGATCGATGTTTCTCTCTCATTGGTGTTTCTAACCCTCTATCCTTCTCTCTTCCTCTCTGTAAAAACTCAATTAAAAAAAAAAAAGTAAAAAAAAGATGGACTCTCAAGAAACTAGCTAGAGCAAGTAGGGGAAAAAAAAAATCCTTTCTTATGAAAATACCAAACCGCAGCTGTAATCATCCAGATAAAAAAGATCTCAGGTTTTTTGAGGAGCTGGAGAAAATTGGGAGACCCTTCCGATTGTTAATTTTTGGCTCTAGGCCTAAGTAAGATGCAGATTTCTGAAGTCACAGCGCTCCCTGTCAGCCCCCTGGGCCTCCGTCTCCTCCATTTGCCAGCCTGTGGCCTCGCCGCTCAGGCACCCGGCCCGGCCCCTGTCCCCAGGACTCCGCCGCTCAGCCCTCTCAGAGGGCTCCCCACCATCGGCTGCCCGGAGCCAGGACCTGAGCCGGGCTGCCCAGCGCTCAGCGGGCCCAGCAGCTCTGGGACTCACCTGGGACATTTGCAAACGCGCCTCCGGTTCCCTGGGAAGGAAAGAGAGATGGAGTGACTGTGGCCCCCAGCCCCACGGATGGCTTCTTCTTCCCCTTCCTGTTCCTTCAGGTTCCTAACTCCGGGGAGCCCAGGGGAGGGCCTCTTTTCCATCCTTCTTCGCATCAATTAAACAAACAAACAAACAAAAAAACAACTCCCCTCCACCCCTCCCCGCAAAAACAACAACATCGCAAACACAGACGTGGTTGCCTGCGATGGAACCAAAGCCGGGTAGGGGGCCCATGGGGAGAGGGTCAAGGATGAACCTCAACCCGTGGTGGGTCCCGGCTTCAAGGGCACGGGTCCCAGGGCCCAGAGGCCACCTCCCTGGGGGCCTCAGATAACCCCAGCCCCGCACTCACTACCAGCTGTGGCTGCGCGGAGGGACTGGCAGGGACCTGTCCTCCATTGAAACCTCCCTGGGCGATGGGAGGCGGGAGGGAAGCGCTTCCCCGCGTCTTGTCTCCAGGGAGAAACGGTCTGTGCCTGGCCCTGCGGGGCAGCTCAGAGTTCCAGGAGTCTCCCCCCACCCCCAGCCAGGGCTGCCCCCCTCCCAGCCAGGGTTACCCCCCAGCCAGGGCTGCCCCCCAACCAGGTTACCCCCCAACCAGGTTACCCCTCAGCCAGGGCTGCCCCCCTCCCAGCCAGGTTACCCCCCAGCCAGGGCTGCCCCCCAACCAGGTTACCCCCCAACCAGGTTACCCCTCAGCCAGGGCTGCCCCCCTCCCAACCAGGTTACCCCCCAGCCAGGGTTACCCCCCACTCAGGGCTGCCCACCCTCCAGCCAGGACCGCCCCCCCCCCCTCCACCCCCGGGCGGCCTGGAGCGGCGGCAGCGGTCGGCCCCCGCGGCCCGCACTCACGGTGGCTGCAGACGGCGGTGGCGATCAGGGCCAGGAGCAGGGCCGCGCAGGCCCCGGCCAGGGGCGCCCAGATGTAGATGACGCAGGCGAAGGTCAGGTCCTCGGGCTCCTCTGCCGCACGGAGACGCGGACGCTCAGCAGCGGCCCGGGCCCCCCTTACCTCCCCGCCGCCCTGGGTGGTCTCCTCTCCCCCCGTCCCGGAGCGGGGCGGCCCCGGAGGGCTCTCCGCGGTCCGTACCCGCCCCCCCCCCTCCCCCCCCGGGTCCCGCAGCCTCACCTGCGGGGCGGGCCGCCGGCCGGCAGGTCTCGGGGCGCGGGGAGCCGGGCCGCGATGCGTTGGTGGCGGGCGGGGGCGGCGGCGGCGGCGGCGCGGTGGTGGGCTTGGCTGCGGGCACAGCGCGCGGTTGGGGGCCGGGCCGGGGCCTGGACGGGACCCCTTCCCCCGCGCCCCTGCCCCGGGTTCGCTTCCTCCCGGGGCCCCCAGAAGGACCGGCTGCCGCCGCGCGGTTCCCGGCCCCGGAAGGCGCCCGGCGCTCCGGCTGGGACAGCAGCCCCCTCCCTGCAGCCGCCTCTCCGGGCTCAGCGCCGGGCCGCTGCCGTGGGCTCGGGGATCCCCACGCTCCTCGGACGGGTAAACGGAGGCGCGGGGGGTTTAAGCACCGCGCCCAGGGCCACCCGAGCACCGGGACCCGAGCCCTGATCGGCTGGACCGAGAAAGCTATCTTCAGTCCCTACTCGGCCGCACGCCGGCCTCAGTTTCCCCGTCTGTGACATGGGAACGGGATCTAAGGAGCCCCCAGGGGCGCCAGGAGGCTCGGAAGCGGGGCGTTTGTGTGAAAAACGGGTTCAGAGGGCAGTGCCCACCCCACGCCTGCGCGGAGGGAATGGCAGGGACCTGTCCTCCGTTAAAACCTTTCTGGGAGATGAGAAGCCGGAGGGAGGCTCTTTCCCGCGTCCTCTCTCCAGGGAGAAACGGGCTGTGGCTGGCCCTGCGGGACTGCTCAGAGTCCCAGAAACCTCCACCCCAGCCAGGGCTGCCCCCCCAGCCAGGACCGGCCCCCCCCCCAATCAGGACTGCCCCCCCCCAGCCAGGGCTGCCCCCCCAATCAGGACTGCCCCCCCCAGCCAGGACCGGCCCCCCCCAATCAGGACTGCCCCCCCCCAGCCAGGGCTGCCCCCCCTCCCAGACAGGGCTGCCCCCCGCGGGCAGTGCCCGGCGCGGACCTGGCAGGAAGACGGGCACGAAGGGGCTGAAGTACAGCACGGAGTTGCTCATGCAGGAGCAGAAGTAGTAGCCCTCGTCCTGCTCGCGGAAGCTGTTCAGGGTGAGGACGTAGCGGTCGCTCCCCAACTTCTTGCCGGAGAACCGGCCGGCGTCCAGGTCCGGGGAGAGCTTGACGCGGTTGATGTTGGAGATGAACAGGAGGAAGGCGGGGCTGCTGGCGGGGCTGCCGGCGGGGCCGGCCTTCTGCACCAGCCAGGAGCAGCCCGCGTTCAGCGTGGGCAGCAGCACCTCGCAGCTCAGCTCCACCCGCTGGCCCGGGGCGCCCACCACCTGCCGCGGCGCCATCCGGAACGCGCTGGACCCGAGGGCCGGGGCGGCGTCTGCGGGTGCAGGCGGAGAGGCTGAGCCCGAGCCCGGCGCCCCTCGTCTCCCTGCCCCCCTGTACCCTTCCCTTCCCCCCCCCCTCCCCCCCGGCCATCCTCGAGGGTCTCGAACTCACGGAGCATCAGGCCCAGGGGCAGGAGCAGCCCGGCCATTGGCGAGGCCATGGCGCTCCCGCGGCTCCGCTCCGGGCTCCGGGCTCTGGTGGCTTCGATGGGCTCCGCTGGCCCCGGTGCGAGGAGAGGCGCTGGAGACCACGCGGTGGGACGCCGCGGGGAGACGCTGCTGCCTTCGGACGGCCCCCCAGCCCGACGGCCCCCTCGGAGGATGTGATGTCACCCGTCGCCCCGCTTTCTGCGGTTGTTACCTTCCAGCCAGCGAGGGGGCTGGGGCCTGGAGCAGGAGCCGCGGGGCAGCCTGGGGTGGGGTGCTGGGGGCAGCTGAGACCTGCGGCCGAGGCTGAAGGAAAGAGCTTGGAAACGGCCCTCGGAAAGGGCACTCTTGTGGGGGTGGGAGAATGGTGCGAGGTCAGAGGCTTCAAAAACAGGGCGGGGGAGCGAACAGCAACCAGAGAGAGAGTCCACACGGCTTGCCCTCACTCAGTGTTTGTAGCCCGTTATCTGGGGGCTGTGTCTGCGAAAAGGGCACCGAGGGCTGGGCAGGAAGCGGGGTTCACGGCTTGCCCACTTCTCGGGCACTGGGTCAGCGGAGTCTGGTGTTCACCCAGGAGGGACCGTGAGGCAGGCGGATCCTGGGGGAGACAACATGCTGACTCTCTCCTGGCCAGTCCTCCAGTTGTGCACATTGGTCTTTTGGCTCTGATAGCAGGGTCTGAGAGTGTCACTCCTGCCACCTCCCAGGACCTGCAGGACTGGATGAGAGCTAAACTCTGGCTGGGCCCAGAGGCTTTGAGTGCTGGCTTCCCCCAGGCTCTGCCCAGCTCCCTACCCCCCTTTCCCCCCCAAGCATTCTCTCTCCCAGGCCTTGGGATCCTCTGAACTCCTCTTGGCTTTGCTTGGGAGACTTTCTGGGGCCAGCTCCCCAGCTGTGAGGCTTGGACCTCATTTCTCTGTATCGTGGTTCTGGATGCTGGGAGGGAGACGGGGCAGCCGGGTGAATGCCTGGGTGAATGCAGGCAGTTTTCCCTCTCTGCCTGGCACAAGGGGCCCCTTCCCCGTTGCCTATTGCTGCCCTGAAACCTTCTAGACCCCGGGGTGCCCTCCCCGTTCTTCGGGGCTTCCAGACCTGCCCTCTTTGAGTCCTGTATCGGGGCCCTTCAGACTGTTTAATCCTGGAGCCACGCCACCGGGCATTATCTGCCCTATTGTTCGCCCACCTGGTGGGGACCCTGTCCCAGGCACCCCTGGATGTCACATCTCAGCTTGGGCTCAGCTGTATTTACCAACTGTACTCCCTTTGTGGAGTCCTAACGAGTGTCCAATGGGCTTTTTAAAAAAAATGACATTGATTTCCATGTTCTCCTTCCCCTTCTCAAAGCATCAAGATGCTTACTAAAACATGGAGCATTTGACATTTTCTATTTGACACTGTTTTTTTTTTTTAAATATATATATATATTTTATTGATTTTTTTACAGAGAGGAAGGGAGAGAGATAGAGAGTTAGAAATATCAATGAGAGAAACATCCATCAGCTGCCCCCTGCACGCCCCGCACTGGGGATGTGCCCGCAATCAAGGTCCATGCCCTTGACCGGAATCGAACCTGGGACCCTTCAGTCCGAAGGCCGACGCTCTATCCACTGAGCAAAACCAGTTTCGGCTATTTGAAACTGTTTTTAAAGTGTCTTTTAACTTGTAAGAATGACATATTCTTGAAAAACTTCAGCCAATACAGAAAGAAATAGAGGGAAAGTGCTCTGCCTCAGCTTCTCCCATCGCCATCCGCTCTCCAGAGAAAACCAGTCACCTCTGAGTGTGTCCCTCAGATATCATCTGTTCATGAGAAGATGTTTTAGTTACATGCAGCTGTACTATAAATACAAGTATAAGTAAATGAGTATATGTATGTTTGCAACTTGCCTTTTTTATCGAACAGTAGAAGGGAAGGTTTTCATGTAAGCTTATGTAGAGTTACCCCATTCTTCTGAATGGGTGCGTTTTCACTTAAGCAGTTTCTCCATTTTTGTAATGACTAGCAAGGCTGTAGTAGATATAATGTATCTGAATCCTTGAGGACTTGCACGGTACATGTACCATTTCCACATTAAAGATGAGAGAGGCTTAGAAAGGAAACCCTTTGTGATTATGGTTATGAATAGGATCCCCTGGCATACGGATGTGTGCGTGTATGTGTGTGCGTGTGTGTGTGTGTGTGTGTGTGTGTGTGTGTGTCTCTGGGTGTGTAGACACAGGGCTGGGCCTTCCCTCACATGAGTGAAAGTAGCAGCCAAGTCCAGACATGCCAGTGACCCTCCGATCCTCGTTTTAGATAGCAGCTTGCCATTTTTATTGGTTTGTCTAGTTTTTTGTTAATCCTCGGCAGAGGATATCTTTTTTCCATTGACTTCTAGAGAGTGTGGAAAAGAGGGGGAGAGGCACAGAGAAACATTGATGTGAGAGAGACACATCGATTGGTTACCTCCCATACACAACCATGCCGGGCCAGGGGTTAAGCCTACAACCGAGGTAGGTGCCCTTGACTGGAACCAAAGCCACTAACCCAGGGCTGATGATCTAACCACTGAGTAACCGGGTAGGGCACAGCTTGTCATTTTGCCTCTTCTCTGTTCCCACTGCCAGGGTGTCAGAGGGCCCTGCTGGCCGAAGGATGCGATCAGGGGGCACTGAAGAGGGGGAAAGCTAGAAAGTATTCCTCACCCCGAGGAGGAAGCATGGAGGGGAGCCAGGGTCAACCTGCGGGTATTTGGATCTTGGAAACTATGTCCCTGAGTACGATGAAGGTCAGATTTTGGGGTGCAATGCATGGAAATAGAGTAGACCCCCCCCCCCCCCAGTCTCCAGGAAATGAGACTTGGAGGCCTTCCAGCCTGCGGCTAAGAGCAGTCTGAGCCCTGGGAGAGGCAGCCCCCTTTGCACAGAGCACGGCGAAGGGTGGGGGATGCCAAGGCATCACATCAGACCCACCAAGGAGGCTGTGTGACCCCAAAGTATTTTTCACAGAACGTGGTGGATTTTCATTGTAACCACAACAACATCCGCTGTGTATCAGGCAGAAGAGCAGATGCAATTGCAAAAGTTTTGGGGATGCTCGCTTGCTCTGGGGCCAGGTGTGCAGAGGGCTGGATTGGCCTGCCTCTCCCCTCCAGGTGAGCTCCCCACCCCCCTCACTGCAGGGCTCACCCGGGATGGCGGGTGAAAGCATGAGAACAGCTGCATTCACCAAGCAAGCCCCTTATTTTTTAAAAGCATCGAGAGAGAGAGAGAGAGAGAGAGAGAGAGAGAGAGAGAGAGAGGGAAATCAGTTTTTATGCTGAATTGAAATAAGCCTTTTTTTTTTTTCCCCTCTCAAGGTATTTGTTCATAAAACATGGAAATAAAATAACTTTAATTTACACAACTTAAAGTAATGTTTAGAATGCATAACTGGGTGGCGCAGTGGTAGGAAATTAGTCAGGGCTCAGTGTCACAGTTCCTAAGGTGCTGACGGCTGAATTGCCTGCTGTCTCCCCTTGCCTATGGAGTTGCTTGTTTGGGCCTAAAAGGCTTTAAAAGGCCTTGCTTTATCTGGGCCATAAATATGTACCTGACAACTCTCTCTCACTTTTGCCACTCCAACTTCCCTCCACCCTGGGAACCTCCAAGCTCATGTAGGTTGCTGCCATCTCTTGCCTGGACTCCTGCAATGGTTTCCTAACTGGCCACCCCACTTTTACTCTGGTCTCTTCCATTGCTTCTGGTCCTTTCCAGTGAAAACCTTGTCCCGCCAAACCCCTGCTTCAATCTGCAAGGGCTTCACAGGGCCCCGAGGAGAACACTGGGTAGTCCCCAAAGTTGCCAGAGGCCCTGCATGCTCAGCCCTCCAACCCTAAGGCCACCCTTTCCTGCTTGCCTTCTTCACATGTAGTCTTGATGTTTTTGAAAGGGTCCTTTTTCCTTTCCATTTCAGTGCCATTGAGCATGCTATTCTCTAAGCCAGGAACGCCATCAAAATCTGCTCAGTAAGACCCAGCTCAAGCCTCTGCTCGCTATGGGGCCCCTCCCCGTCCTGCGCCGTATAGGCCTGCCTGGACCTTGGCATCCCTGAACTGCACTTACTCTGCATGGCAACGGCTTGTTTGTTCACCCATCTTGATGACCAGACCCTTGGTTCCTTGAGGAAGAGACCTTGCCTTCCTCATATCTATTCAGTGGTGCCCAACAGAGGGCATGGCACCCTCTTGGTCTTGGAGAAACGCTTGTTTGGTAAATGCTAAATGAAAGCAAAAGCAGGCGCAGCAAGCCAGAGGAGGTAGAGATAGTTGATTTCAGGTAAGTGGGGTCATAAAAGGCTTTACAAAGTGTCTGATTTGGAGATAAGGTTAGAATTAGGAGAGAGGTTGGTTAGAATGACTTGGTAAAGATGGTGCCGGTACTATGCTTTAATACATAATCACGGCATGGTTGAAAGAAAAAGAAGGAGGAAGAGGAGAAGGTAGATGCATTAATAAAAGGATATGTAACTCAAATTCAGATGTGAATTCACTCCAGAAGAGATGCAAATTATGTAACAGTCTGAACAAAGTTTAAAATAAAGAGAGTAGCTTGTAGAAATTAAACAGGAACAATTGAATGATGATAAATACCGAGCATACTGGAAATGAAAACTTTAGCTATAAACATACGCTCCACATTGGACGTAGCTAAAGGGATAATTAGTAAAATGGAAGCTAGCATTGAGGAAGTCCCAGAGAATGTGAAGCAGCGAGGCAGCTGCAGAAGCAGTGAAGACAGAAGCAGCTTGAGAAGCTGTTGAAATGTGGCTCAGCACTGTGAAAGGTTTGGCAGGGTTTCAGGAAAGGGAGAGTAAAGGGCATGTAGAGAAGGAATATTGGGAGAGATCATGGGTGAAGATTCTCCACAATTAAAGACATAAGTGGTCTCAGAGTGCCAATTAGCATAAGAGAAAATATATCTTTTTCAGGAACATTCCAAAGTGAAGAACCACAAGACAACAAAAGCAAAGAGAAGAACCCATCCTAGGATGTCAGAGAAAGGTGGGGTAATATTATGCTATGGGTTCATTA